CACACACACACACACACACACACACACACACACACACACACACACACGCAGCTTTAAGTCCTGCTGTGCAACAGAGGAACCAGGAAATGTCCTCCGGCTGCTCATTAGAGTTCATTACACACACACACACTTAGAGAGGACTTAAATCTATAGCCTCATGAATCAGTGAGTTTCATTCCTGTTGACGACTTCGCCATCGAGTTGTTTATTGGTGGAAACGGTGAAGTCATCCTTTGTCATGCATGTAGCATTGCTTAGAAGACCTCCAGCAATCTTATCTAATAACTACAGCTGGTATTAGATTCTAAACAATGTCAAAACAATGAAATGTTCAATATGAAATCTAGCTTTTGCCAGGAGTAGACGTGTAGTAGTTGTTGCATGTCGGGTTTAGCCGCTGCTGCAACATCGATTTCAAAAAAAACACACCAACCAACCGGCCACCTGTTGCACATTCTCACTGCCTCCTCACAATAAAAACACCGTTAGTCTCATGAATCATTCAATTCGAGAGCACATGCAAGAAAAAGTGTGATTCAAGAGTCAACTAGAGCCAGCGATGCCAGTGCGAGGCATCATTTCATGCATAATATATATATACTTCTCATCCGTGTCTTTTTTTTTTTTCCCCAGACGTTGTCTTAGTTACAGTACGTGCGTACATGTGTGGGTTGGGTTCGGCGTCTCTGCGGAGGACGCTCTGCACTGCACCTACCTGCAGTGCACACATATAGGGATGTCGTCGTTCTCTTGGTATTCTCTCATTAGTGCGATCATATCCAGTATGGAGTCAAAGGACGAGGGGACGTCGTGGTCGGGCCAGTTCATGTAGTGGAACTGTGTTATCCTCCTTGTTTCCTGCAGAGGAGACGCACGCATGGATGTTTTCAAAAGGTTTAAAGAGGGTTGATGGAAGGTCAGAGAATTGAATCACAGGGCCAAGAGGAGAAAGTGAATACGTGGGCGATGTTTAAATATTAGCATTTATTAGCTTTTAGTGGAGGTGTGCGGGCATGATATTAACATAGTTCTGTTTTTGTGAAAAATGTCGTTGCCCAAATGTATTTCTGCATCGTTATGCGAGATACATCGACATAAACACTTTCAATATTGCAATATAGATATTTTGACAGTGAGGACTGCTTTTATAAAAAATGCATTTATCTAGTACAGTCTGAAGAGCAGACCGAGCAATAAGTCAGAGAACTTACATTCTCATTCTCCACCGTCAGAGTCCGGAGAAAGTAGTCTGTTCTGGTCTGCTCCGATTCCTAGAAAACATTCACACAATCCTTGACTGAAGCGGTCATTAGAACAAAATGTGAGAAATGTGGGAGTCCAGAACGACAGACCCCCCCCCCTCTCCACACACACACACACACACACACACACACACACACACACACACACACAGCTGTGATATTAGAGATTTGTCTACTCACACAGGAGATTCTGAAAGGGCCAAAACTCATTGGCTCCTCCCCGTGCAGCGGGAAATACCGCTCACACTTTTTCTAACCGGAGAAGAAACAGGAGTTAGATTTGGCTGAGAAACGAAATACCAGACACACATCACAGCTTCCTGCGCACGCACACGCACACGCACACGCACACACTCTTTCTGGCTTGATATAAACAATTAACGTTACATGTGAAACGGTGGCATTTACAGAAGGACTAAATACATAGATACTATACTTTATATACATACATGTGCAACACAGACACGTATAGAGGCATCAATGAAGGCGATGATAATTATATTATTCGTGTTAAGACAAACAGACGCATGAACATACACATTCATGCACGCAAACATACACCAAAGAGATTAAACATCGCGGCCTTACCCTTCCCATCTCAAACTCTCGACAAGCCATCACAATAACCTGCGGAGACACAAACAGGAAGGATTACAGTTGATATTTACAACCAGCCACTCGCAGGTAAATCTTACATTTCACTAAATATCTATTCCTGTGTGTTCCATTCATGAAATGCTGAATTAAATTGTACACCGCTACAGTAGCAGAGCGGACTTCAGATCTTTTCGGAGTGTTACGTTTCACTCTTGCATCTTTATCTCGCATCATTCCCGATCCTACAGGAGTAATCATCGCACCTTTCAGAGGGGCTGTGGTAGTTAAAACCTAATCACAGGCCCCTCCCCTTTCTGCCCATCTAGTTCAAGCTATAAGCACTCCCCATCTGCCCCCGACAAGCATATTAAATACTTATTTATATTGCTTTAATCATCACGCCCATCGCCCACAGTAAGCAACAGCTTTCTGTTGCTATATTCAGCGACATCCGACCAGCCAGCGAGCCACACTCACAGCTACGTTGTACTCCCAGTTCATCCTCCAGAAGTCGATGACAGTGTTCTGCAGCGGGCCCTGAGTTGCAATGTAGGCCTCTGGGCCGTCCATACCCTGAAGGGAGGGATGGGGAGAAAGAGGGAGAAAAGGCAGGATCACAAATCTGCACCGGTTTTTGAAATGTCACATTCTGTGAAGACACTTTATCTCCACATTGGATGTTCCTGTGATTCATATATAGCACTTTATTCCACCAGAATGTCTCTCGCGCTGTAATCAAAGTGTCAAACAGCAAAAGAAAGGAATTTCACCAGCTTTTTTTTTTTTTTACCTTGATGAAGTTAGCGTTTACGTAATCTGTGTCCTGATTGGTCGTTTTCAGCGTCAGCTTCACCCTGGTGTGATCAACTGGGGAGAAAAAAGAAAAAAAGAGAGAGAAATGTATTTACTTTGATGCATTTGAAATATTTTCTACTTGCAGAAATAAGTAGACGAGAAATAAGACGAGAGAGAAAAGAGCAGACGGAAAGACAGATAAATGGATAGAATGTGAAATACTGAGAGACACAGAAGACAGACTGAAGAGAATTGTAAAATAAAGAGGTTAATGGACACACACAGCTACATCCTCATTCCTAAGTGTGTGTGTACACATCTGTTACGGATGAAGCGGTTCTTCCTTTGACTTACCAGCAGCTCATTCACTAAAAGCCTTAATGAACGGACAGAACGGATGAAATGACGGAACGACGGAGGAGAAGAAGAGGATAAAGATATAAAGAAGGACAGATGTTGGGTCATGGACCTCTCTCTCTCTCTCTCTCTCCTCTCCTCTCCTCTCCTCTCCTCTC